CCCCTCCTTCCTGTGTTCTTCTTACTCCCCCCTCCTACCTGTGTTCTTTTTACTCCCCCATGTTCTTTTTACTTCCCCCCTCCTCCCTGTGTTCTGTTTACTCCCCCCCTCCGCCTTGTGTTCTTCTTACTCCCCCCCCTCCCTGTGTTCCTCTTACTCCCCCCCGTGTTCTCCTCACCTCCCCTTCCCTGTAGCATGGCTGAGCTCCTCTCCAGTCCGTGGTACAGGAGTTTCTATTTCCTGTACCCGGCCAGACTGACAGGAAGTGCACACTGAGTGAGCACTTTCTATCACTCCGGCCAGGTACAGGAAATGGATGTTCCTATACCGCAGACCAGAGAGGAGCTCGGCCATGCTACAAAGGGAAGGGGAGGTAAGGAGAGAGGCAGTGCTGCAGCCGCCTGAGGCTCTCTATAGAGTGCTCAGGCGGCTGCAGCAATAGATGGGCGGGCGATGGGGACACAGGGCCCTCCCTCCTATGTGGCGCCCAAGGCGGCTGCCTAGTTCGCCTTATAGGAAGCGCCGGCACTGCTGAATGCACAAGTTTAATGGTGATGTTGAGACAAATTAGGGAATTATATGCAGTCTATAAAGAAAAGAAACTATAGATGCAAGATTTCCACTTTGAATTGTTTAAGTAAAGTACTGACAGTGTCTGAAGGTATGCGTAATGAGCCAAACATTTCAAAGCTGACAAATGCACTTTAACCCTCCGTCCAATAAATAGATTCCTAGAGTGTTTTGTGTCTCTGTTTTGAATTTAAAATATATTTTTTTCAACTTCTTCTACTAAAACTATTTAGCGAAAATGCAAGTTTCCAGACAATCTAAAGGTAGGAATTTTTATGTGGTGCATTGGCTTCATTATCTATGAGGAAAAACAAGTATCAAATTCTTCAACATACATTCGAAAGAAAAATCCCTGCATGTGTATATCATCTAAATAGTCTAATAAGATCCAGCACAATTTACATACTAAACTTATCAGTATATTTTTATTGAAGCAGGTATAGATCATTGTGTATGCATCGATCAATGTGTTACAAAAGTTTGTATGTGTTTATTTAGGGATACACATTTTAAACTATGTTGCAATAGCGTTTGCAATTGGCTTTAAACTTTTTGCAGAAAAACTGAATTAAAAGAGGCACCAACAATGCCATAAAAAACAAAAACCAAGCAGTCTGTTACACACTCTAAAATATAGAATAGATAATTTCTCTGTCTCCTGGGTACTAAGCAATGAGTACCCCACTCCTAAATGTGAATGAATTTTGTTCCCACAAAACAAGGCAGAAAAACTGTTCCCAAGTCGGTAAGAAAAACAGTTCCCAAGTCTCTTAAAAACAAATACCATGGCCTTCTCCTAAAGGACAAACTTTAAATTATTTACCCAAGTACATCATATATTGAGGTCAAAGGAAGACCGTAAAAATGTTGTTATAATCTCATTTGATCATTAGAGACAATCTTAGTACTGCAATGTTAACATTGCAGTTTCTCAAAACCTGTAATGTTTTACATCGCAGTACTTAGGGGGACAGGGACAGTGCACCCAGACCGCGTCAATGAGATGAAGTGGTCTTGGTGCCTAAAGTGTCCCTTTAATTCATGGTTTCCAACAATAACTATGTGAAGCAGTCGGACATACGTTTGGTGGTCTATTAATCGTTTCTTGGTTTTCATGATGTAATCAGTGTTATCCATGATCCCACATTTTCCACCTCTCACTAACTTTTTTTTCACAAGTTTAGGTTTTTTTTTATAATTAAGGATGTGAATTCTGTAAGTTCTTCAAGTTCTTTCTGACTTAAGTTCTTCTATTTATCGTGAGTTCAACAGTTGGCCAGTTCCCTTTCTGCAGACTTCTGGAATTAATTCTCAAGATTATTCCTTATAAAAGTAGAATTAAATTGAGATTTTTCCTTTAGTGCGGTATATCCCTGCATGCCAGAAACAGATGTTAATATATACATTTGTTTTGATTGTAGACTTTCTGAATCCACAAGACATTGATCTTGAAATGTCAAATTCTCTACTATTATAGACAATATACCACATACTATGTCCCTATAAGGTACAAATTCAGAAAGTATTTACTATTTTCACCTATTGTTCCATTTTCCATTGATTAAAGGGAAACCACTTCCATGACACACTTAATGTACTAAAGAAATTATTCACTGTTTAGTAAATATACCTACAATGAAAACATGCATGCATTTTTAATTATGTATGGTTTTTTTCCACTGGGTTATAGCTAAAAACCGCTTGTAAAATGTGTAGACCTCTTGTAACCCTTTCTAACCCAGCACAGCTGGGTCCAATCACAGACTTTCTAATTCAGCTCAATAAGAAGTCTTTGTAAGGCAGGTGCTCTGGGCAATTGCAGCCTCTTCAGTTTAGCTTCACTGAGCTAAAGAACCAGGAAGTAACAGGACCCACTGTCTGATTGACAGCCAGGGGGGCAAATAATTATAATGTTTATTTATAAAAGTGGCAATTTCTTTTGGAAACTGCACTTCTTGTAAAATAAAAAAGAGGACATGCTAGTCACATATAAGTCACGTCATGAAGCTGAAGTGCTCTGGGAGTTAGTAGTGTCCTTTTAATTTATTGTTCCTTTCATTGACTGTTCTACTTGATGAATACTCATTAACCTGTTCACCTGCATGCTCATTCACTGAAGCTTAAATTTAGAGTGAATTTCAAAATAGCCAAACTGGGAAGATTCTGGAAATACCACTGCTCTGGTCTTACATTTGAAATTCACTTTGAATTCTTACATAAACGGCCCTGCAATTAAGATCTCTACACCACTACTATGTTTTGCAGTCCATATTCCTCTTCACAAGAATAATAGGCTTGTCTAAAAGTGGGTATTTATAAACTGGAATTTCTTGCAAGTATTTGAGATTTTGTACTATCATTGGTCTGTTTTTAAATATTTTTTTAGTGTTGCTCCGATGGGAGTAGGTAAAGAACCAGTAAAAACCTTAAAGTTATGTAAAGATTAGGCTTGTATTATATTCTAATCCAACAGCCAAAGTCTCTACATCTGGTTTCATATCAGATAGTTTTTCATTGTGTAATGGTACAAGACAGGGTTGGCCGTTGTCGCCACTTTTATTTCTATTGGCAATAGAGCCTTTGGTGGAAATCATTAGATAATGTGCAGAGATCGAAGGCATTGTGGTGGGAAACAAAGAAGATAAAATTGGCCTATTAGCTGACATTATGTCCTCAAGTGTCTTGTGTATAAGTCCATCAGAATCTGGACCAGGCCGAAGACTAGGGTGTTGCCTGCTGGGCTCCTCTCAGAGTACCCTCCGCGCTGCAGCAGTGTCCTTTCACCAGGTGGAAAAGAGAAGGGAGAGTTTACGGAAGTGGTGAGATGCCTTGCCCGGCTTCCAATAGCTGCTGTTGGCGGCCGGGAGGCAGGAGTGCTCTCGTGTGTTCGGCCGGTGGGTGTTTGACATTTTGGTGAGCTGTTACTGGGTGGGTCTTGCTTGAAAGTGTGGGGCCCTCTGACACAGCGCTGTCTCCTAGGTGGGGCTATATGCTTGAGAGAGGAGCAGTGAGGGTGTGACCCTGGGGTGAGTCTCTGTTGTGGCTTTAGGTGACTCACCAGCGGGCGAGGATTGGGGTGCTGCAGCTTGCGCTGGGTTTTCCGTCAATGCCGCATAAGGATCCCCTCTGTGTTACCTGCTTGTAGTAGCTTGTCTGAGCCATGTGTGTGGGTGACCCGGTGGTAAGTTAGGTCTCTGCGTAGACTGCGATCCAGGTCGATGTCAGGCCCTAGGCTTCACCAGAGGCCCCTTCCTCCTCCGCAGTGCTGGTCGGTTGTCAGGGCGTTGGGCTGCTAGCTGACTGTTTGGTCGCTGTTTCTGCCCAGAAGGGTTAGTACTGTGTAGTGGGGCAGGTTGATGTAGCCTCTACTCCAGCTTCTTCCGGAACCTCTCAAAGTGCTTGTTCAACCTCACCAGAATGTCGTGTGCAGCATCAATGGGACCCTCGTCGCCTGCAGTTTCCACCATCTTGAGTGAAACTCTGTGCTCACTCTTTGCCCATGAGGCGGCCTGTAACGCTTCCACTGGGTGGTCCGGGATCTCCCCCCCACCGGTCCAAAGGGAGGGTAACGGGGCTTGCTCACATTATAGGCATCGTCAGAGTGACTCTGGGTCGGGAGTGCGGACGCCTCTCCCACCCATTTGTGTACTAGACTGCACTGTCAGTCGCGGTGTCAGCGGGTCTCAAGCGGGTCTCTCATCCTTCCACTGCATGCCCTCTGTTGTCGGGTGCTTATGAGTATGTGGTACCGCTGTTTGTCTTGCTAGATACAGCCTTATGTCGCTTGTATTGCCATAGTTGAGCGGGAGCTCTTGAGAGACACGTCTCATTGCCATGATGGTTAGGCCCCATTCCCACAAATTCATACCTTTTAACCAATTAAAGGAAAGTTATAATTTGGATGATTCAGACACCATAATTCACAAAAAAAAATTGATTGGATTAGTTTAAAATTTGATGTTATTGTTTCCAACTTGGAGCTGAATCAGAGATTAATATTATTCTCACCTATAGAAAAAAAATATTTTTCGGATCCGGAATGGAAACATACTATATCTATATTTTACTCGACTTTTGAAAAAAACAATAATGAGAAATCAGACTTCATGCTGCATTGGGAGGGGGACTTAGGCCTGGCCTTTGGTCTGGATGATTGGAATGGCTTTATTTTATCATTAAAAGGTACTACACAGAGTGCCTTTTATTATGAATCCCATTATAAATTATTACTCAGATGGTGCCTAACCCCCTCAAAATTATACAAATTCAAATGATGAAATTTAAACAAATGTTGGAATCATTGTGGAAAGCTGGGGTCCTTAATAGTGATGTCCCGAACGGTTTGCCGAACTGTTCGCGAACGGTTCACCACGAACGGTTCGCCACGGGCTCATCATTGAGTAAACTTTGACCCTGTACCTCACAGTCAGCAGACACATTCCAGCCAATCAGCAGCAGACCCTCCCTCCCAGACTCTCCCACCTCCTGGACAGCTCACTAAGAATGCAGCTTCACAATGAATGTAAAATGGATGCTGTCCAGGAAGTGGGAGGGTCTGGGAGGGAGGGTCTGCTGCTGATTGGCTGGAATGTGTCTGCTGACTGTGAGGTACAGGGTCAGAGTTTACTCAATGATGAGTCCGTGGCGAACCGTTGGTGGCGAATCGTTCGCGAACCGTTCCGTGAACCGTTCGGGACATCACTAGTCCTTAAGCCATATTAGTTGGACATGCCCATTAATCAAACAATATTGGGATTCGATTAATAAAATAATTAACACAATTACAGATTTGATTATAAACCTAACCACTGATATTTGTTTATTCAAAAAATCTCCCCCAAATTTATCCAAAAACAAATCAATTATACTAAAGCATTTACTAATTGCAGCCAATTCTTTAGTAACCAAATCTTGGAAATCTACAAATATCCCATCCAATAAAGAAATGTAAAATTTGGCACATGAAAACAAAAGACGTGAACTGATGTTTAGGCAAAAAACTATAAAAAATATTAATCTACATCAGGAGTGGGCAATGTAGGAAGAGGACATGGTAAAAAAGTACAGTCTGAGGTAGTGTCCTCCAATCGACCAACATGAATTAGTTTTTATTTTATTTGTTTTTATTTATTGTTATTATTATTATTATTTTGTACATTTTCTTTTTAATTGTTATCTTTTGTACATATACTTGTGATTTCCTATTAATTTTTAAATTTGACGTTTTTATATATTCTTTTTTCTCTTATACATTATGGATGTAAATATTATTATTGTTATTTCCCCCATATTGTATTCTATATTCACTATATTTTTATAATTTCTGTAACTTATGTCTTTTTAAAAATTCAATAAAAAATATTTGAAAAAGAGTAAGTAAAGAAGGATGATACAACCTTCCTGGTTTGTTTAAAATAAAATTGAGTCATCTTGCTAAATCATTGTATTAAAATTCTGATAGTATGTAGCTTGACAAAATAATGTCATTATCTTAAACAGTCACTCTGTTAACACGCTGCATTCCACGCTGCATGTTGTGTTTTTGTTCACACACAAATCTTAGTTACTTAGTGTTCGTACTCATCCCAGCCAATAAAAGATCAGTGTGAGCTGAGCTCCTGGCAGCCAATCACTATCCTATTATTGTCTGCTCTCTGTAGTGTTAGCATGACTTTGGTGAAATTGAGGGTGAGTGACTATCATCAACCTAATCATGATGGAACAGATCAATGAACTTTTATGAGGCAATAGCCATTTCACAATGCAGTTAGACCCAAGAGACCAACTTGTGTCTTATTGCTTTAAGGAAGATGCAGTCCACAACATCTGAAATGCCAAAGGTTATCAATCCCTGGTCTAGACTTTATACTGTAAATGGTAGGGGGGGCTGATTTAACAATATTAAAGTATGTAGAGATGGCCACCAAAAAGGTAGTTAAACATATGGATGCTTTAGCTTTGTTTAAATAGTTGGTGGTTCTTCCAACTTAGATGCTACCACCAGAGAAGAATTTGTTTTTTTCAGGACAGTTATGAAAACAAAGTGCTTAAAGGGTTACAAAACTCCTTACAAATCATAACCCACGCCATTCATGAGCAGAAAACAATATATAAACATTGCCACATGTGTTTGTGCTCAGCTTTAGAATATCATCATCATCTGGAAACTTTGGAAAAGGAAGAAATGATTAATTAGCATTAAGCATGCAAACTGATTAATAACGTCAATACCATCTACCTGCAAGTCACATGTACTATACATTATCACACTATATGTACTCATCTACCTCACATGCATACGCACTTCAGTGTTTCAAAAATGCATACACATTCGAAATGAAAAACCCTTTTAGTACCTCTAATCAAAAGTAATCATGACCAAATAATTGCATTTTAAATGTGAACATTATTAGCTCAGATTCCTCTTTTACGATACTTTTCAGCTCTTCGGTACATGGAAATAAATGTATTCCTTAATCCCAGTTTTATACAGGATTTTTTAACTTTACAAAATATTCTATGTATATGCCCATTTGTATATGAAAATATGATAATACAACACTAGTTACAATAATGTATGCTGCCTCTTAAAAACCCCACTGTAAGCACCAAAACAAGTTCAGCTTAATGAAGTAGTTTTGGTATAGAGATTATGCCCATGCAGTCTCACTGCTCAATTTTCTGCCATTTAGCAGCTAAATCACTTTGTTTATGCAGTCTTAAACACAAATATCCTGGCTGTAAAAAGGTTTTATTTTTACAGTACAGTGTGTTTACGTTAGAAGTTATAATCACCTGCTCTGTTAATTGAACTTTAATCATACACATGAGGCTGTTGCATGCTCTAGCAAACAACAGAGTAGGAAATAGGAAATTCTAAATTAAACACAGTGAACAATAAGGGTAAATATCCAGCCCTAGTCACAATTGGCAATTCTCATATTTACTAAAGCCAAATATGGTTTGAATTCGGTTGGTCTGAGCGAATATGTAGCAATTGCCCAGAGGTATTAAGTGTCTGGATTAAAATCACTACTTTTGTTGCTCAGTTGTTAAAAACACCCTACTCCATGTTAATGGAACCTGTAAAATAACAGTGGAAAACATAGTTCCTCTGTGCCCCTACCCATGGGCATCAGGTAGGGGACCTTGAATGTAAAAATGGGGTGTGGAAAGAAATCATACTTATGATTTACTAATTTTATATCAGGGTACATAGTATCCCTCCAGCCCCCAGCCACGGATAGCGGGAAGGTTTTATCATAACTATAAAGAGGGAACTTAGTGTCCCTAGCCATCACCCATTACTCAGTGACGGCTCTAAATAATAATAAAGGGGGGATCTAGAGTTTCCCGTCCAGTCTCAACCACCGCTAATGGGTGTGGACTGTAGTGGAGAATACACTAATAATAATATACAAATAGGGTGGACATACCATTGCCAACCTTACCATAACATGTGCCATTGTCTACCCCCCATGGGTGACTATGCGTCTCCAATGCTTTAGGCACTTCCCCTTAAAATAATTTAACCCTACCTACTCCCCCTCACCCTAATAAAAGAGAGGATGCCATTAAAACTAATAGCTGTAAAAAAAAATAATACTTGCCATCTGAAGTCATCTTTCTTGACAATCTTCTTTAAAGTAGACTCAACTGTAAAAAAACAACAACAAATAAAAACACTGTTTAGTGGATATACCCCAAACGAAAACATGCTTGTATTTAATTATGCATTATTTTTATTGGAAGTATATCTTAAAAACAGCTTGCGAAAGCAGCAGCTCTCTTGTCTGCTGCCTTTGCAAGACCTCCTCTTGCAACCAAGCTCAGACTTTCTGTGGCTGTCCAATCCCAGACTTCCCAATGAAGCTGAATGATAATCCTCTTCAAGGCAGGTGCTTTGGGCAATTGTCTGCCTATTGAGGTTAGCACCTCCGAGCTAACCAGATCAGGAAGTAGCAGGACCTGTTGTCTGCTTGGAATCCAGTGGGGTGTAACACTGTTAATTTATAAAAAATACCAATTTCTATTTAATACTGCACTTTTTGTAAAATTAATTCAAATGGACACATTCTTCACACATAAAGCATTTCAGGAAGCTAAAGTGCTTTTGGGGTCTGGACTCCAAAAGTCCAAATACAAAAACATAATCCGGCCACTATATAGTTTACCAGGTGCTGGTCAGGATCTCAACACTTTCTCTTTGAAGTAAGACATCATGAGGAGTGGGGCTAGTGATGTGTTATATGTCTATACTAGCTTCACCATCTTGAACCTCTCATACACAAAAATAACTACAACACTTGTTGACATTGATCTCTCTTTTCATATTTAAATTCATATCTATCAATTATACTATAAATATATTTAAATTTATCAGGATAAGTGTACTGCCATATTATATAGCTATATTATACACATAAATAAATGTATGATTTAAATAATTTTGGCAATTTCAAGCTTAAAACAAATGTATTAAAGAATATATAAAATATTGTAAAAAAAATAAATTTACTCACATGTTTAAAGTTAAACTGACTATGACCATAGTTACGGTGCTCTGGGGAGTTGTAGTGAAATGATACAAAATAGCATGCTTTGTTATAAAGATAGATGCAAACATTATTGTTTATGGTCATGGTAGTGTCCACTTAAATGTAAATCAATTTAATAATAGCTGAAATGAGATCCCTTCCTCGGGCCATGCAGGCACAACGCACCGCGTGGCCGCATTACCGCAGTCCTCAGGCTGCAAGGCCCAAATACGCCACGTGGCCGGGCCGCGCGGCCTGAATAGATATTACTTACATTTGGTCCCGCAAACGGCTCCCTCTGCTGGTTCGCGGGACAAACTACAGCTCCTATAAATCAAATATTTTGCCATGATGTCATGACCTTAAAGGAATCACGTCATCTGGGCGACCCAGTGTTGTTTGGGGTCACAGAGATGACATGGACCAATGGGAACTCTTTTAAGCCTATTTAACGCTAGTTTTAGCATCCATTTATTGCCCTATCATGGTTTCTGTATAGATCCTCGCTTTGTGCTCCTAGTGATTCCCTATTGATTTTCTGTGTTTGACTTTGGCTTCATATTAAATTAGCATTTTCTGGTATCCTGATATAGCTTCGATACCTTAGAATTTCTGGTATCCTGACCCAGCTTTGATACCTTGGGATTTCAGGTATCCTGACCTGGTTTTGTCTTGACTCTGAGTATTTCTGTAATCCTGACCTTGATTTATCTTGATCTTGTTTCTTGTTGTATTAATACGTTAAATATGGCCGTTCTAAGGCTCAGTAATACATCTTTTGGATCCATCTTTTGTGGGTATCCACTTTCCTGTGTGTTGGGGTAAGACTCATGTGACACTATATGTCTGTCTATCTATTCCTATTTGTTCATCTACCAATTTGTCTGCCTGTCTGTCTATCTGTCTATCTATCGTCATTGTATCAGTCTGCCTGTGAATCTATTTATATATCTACGTTTCTATCTATTTATCTATCTATCTAATGTTGTATCAACCTCTCTATATCTCTGAAAGTCTGTGCATCTGTCTGCATCCGAGATAAGACAGGAAAGCTGAATAAG